ACGCTTCGCATAACATATTATTAACATAACAATATTTAAGGAGTGAATCCGGTTCTTTGATATGCCTACAACACCTATAACGCTTTCATAATTGCAAGGATAGCTCTCCTGCTATGCAACTTACCTTTACGATGGCGGCTTATGAGTTACTCTTAACGCCGCATTCAAGCGCAGTTTGCTTACGCTATGACATTGGACATTATTGCTCGTCTTTGTACACATCAACAAGCATAATTGATAAGGCTCGGCACGTGAAATTGGGACTTTTTCTTCACCTGAAGGAAAGGCAGGTGCCCCGATAATTTGTGCAAAAGCGCACCATACAGAAGCTCCCTTCTAGATTTTGAAAATGCTTTAGGGAGTTTCGAAGAACGCCTGTCCAGTAGTTGTACTACATACAAAGGCAGAAAAATTTTAATAGACATGTGAAAATAAATCTCCTGTTCTGCCTTGTGTGTTAGATAAATGAAGCAACCAAAGTGAAGTTAGCATTATTTATTTTAAAAAACACACCAGTGTTGCATGAGCATATTGTGTTCGTAGCAACATTCTTCGACAACCGCAGCTTCGATGGGTAAGTATTCATTGCATTTATTCCTTTCTTTCTATTTCTTCTTTGTGTGGCTTATTGGGACACTCTTTGGTAACCAGTATAACCTTTGTTGTGTTATATGGGCAAAGTTTGTCGTATTTTTGATCGCATGCAGTGAAATTTGAACCACTTTTGAATACACCTCTAAGTGCTGGACCTTGTACATGAAGCTCGCACCAAGTTGGCGCTGCAATAGAAAGACATGCAGAACAAATACGTGAAACTCAGAATGCCCGAAAACTTAGTTGTGTAGTAAGTACATTTATAATGCTGTAATTAGGTTTTGATAAGGGAAACAATCAATTTGGAAAAACATTTTAATTCCACATTCCTATTTTTGGCGCCTTAAGCTATACACTAACTATGTCTTCCCTATACCACAGTTTCGGAAGGAAAACGTTAACTATAATCTTCATTTTGAAAACAATATGAAGTGCCACGGCAGGTCAACAGTTTGTACTCGTCTCATCGCCTACGTTTCCGAAAATAGCATGAACAACGAATCAAATTTTTCGTGCAGAGTGCATACTGTAAACGGCAGAGACTGTTAGTGCATGTGCAGGTCATCTGCAGTAGGTTCAAGGTATTCGGCTGCTGTATCATTATACTTTTAGGAGGCTGTGCTGCTTGCTTTCCCTAACAAGGTCATGGGACAGTGTTCACGCATACAGCAAAATAGCGCCATCTCGTAGTGGGTAACCGCCTTAGAGGACGTCCCATGCAACGAGCCACCTGCTTTTTCCTCGCACTGACTTCGCCATCAGTGTTTTCAGAGCAACTTGCCACACTTTCTTTACCAAAGCCATTTGTCGAGTCACTGACATTTTGGTCGGTGTATGGCTAATGTGGCATATTTGTCGTCACATGTGCTTTGCTTTAGAAAGGTGTCACAGCTTCGGTCGCACGGAGCATCACTGCTGTTACGATGCTTGATTGATTGATTGATTGATTGATTGATATGTGGGGTTTAACGTCCCAAAACCACTATATGATTATGAGAGACGCTGTCGTGGAGGGCTCCGGAAATTTCCACCACTTGGGGTTCTTTAACGTGCACCGAAATCTGAGCACAGGGGCCTAAAACATTTCCGCCTCCATCAGAAATGCAGCCGCCACAGCCGGGATAAGAACCCGCCACCTGCGGGTCAGTAGCCGAATACCTTAGCCACTAGACCACCACGGCGGGGCTGCTGTTACGATGCAACTTGGCAAAAGTAAAGGACCAATAGGAGCTGACCTAACCCTCTTCACGCGTATTAGGAACTTGTTGCTAGAGGAGTGGCTCCGTTTTTAGCGGTATGTTCGATTTACCGATAGAAGAAAAGACACATGTAAGAGACGACTGGACAGGCACTACTAACTTTGACAGTTGCGCATCTGCACTGCAAGGATGAACACTGTAGTTTGGCCCTACGTGAACTTCAGAAACTTCCGTTTGGTTTGATGCAGTAGATAAATGTAGGACCTTGTAACGAACGTGGAGTGGTCAAGTGACGAAAAATAAGGAACCTATTAGGCTACAAAGACACCACAACAAGGTTTTAAATGCAGTTAGTTAAATGGCGCTCCATTGTTTAGCACATTTTCAGCAGTATATTGGTAAGTTGACTGATAGTTAGCTAACAGTGCATTCCATAGGAATAGGCGTGGGAAGGGCTGCTTTGATTATCGTTGTGGGCAGCTTACCTTCCCAATATTTCCCGTCAATCACGTCATGTGTGCCTGATTGGTATTTGCGTTTTGGCGGGCGCCTGTTCTGTGATGGCCACAGCGAGTGTCGTGTGACAGCTGCTCGCTTAACGTCACGGCAGTCTTCCACGCGTGACTCCGCTCGCTTGGCGCCCTGCTCGCACTCGTCGATTCTCTAATGCTAGGGCTGGCGTTATTCAAGACACTCAAGTGACTCCTAGGTCTCGTTATTTCGGAAATGCCATGGTCCTCAGAGTAGGTCCACGTGGCTAGCGATTCTTTCGGCCCAGGTAGCAACAGCTACCTGCGTTTTCTTCAAGGGACTTTTAATGAGCTCATTCCGGCGCACCATGAGCGATATTGCGGTAGCGGTTTGGGGGTCGGAAAACCTCCACAGTTCCACATTACCTGATTTGTGATGGCTAATTTCTTTTTGCTACATTATTGTTTCTGTAGAAGGACAAAAAGCGGAGTGCATGAAATAACCGGCCGACATATCTCTCCTGCCGTACAGCAGATGCACGATTAAAAAGAGTGAGGGCCAGCTAAAGTGTAAGGTTGAATGCTGCGGCAGTCACACGCGTTCTTGTGAGGTTTTGAAAGGCGGTGGTAGATAAGCCATTCATTTATCTGTATTGACTCATGGGCTTCACTTTTAATATATTTAGCTTACCCTACCATTTAACATGCAACGGCTACTTTGATCAAACCTTGCCCCAATGACTTGGCTGTGATTTTGTTTTTGCTTTAGCAGTCACTTCTAGTGTAATTGGTTTTGAGAATATTGAAAAAATGGATGGATAAATAACACAGTGATAATAAAAAGTTTGAGTTTGCACTAAACAAATAAAAAGAACACGCCATCTCTCGCTAATGGAAACGATGTGTTGATGTGAAGCAGCCGGCGCTAACGCCTACTCTTGCGGTGATAGGAGCCTGGCGCTCATCGCGTCATTGCGCAGAAGAGAAACATGGGGAGCCACAGAGCACGCGGTGATAAACTGGTGTTTCCTACTGGAGCTTGCCGATCGCACTAATTGGCAGTGAGAGACAGAAGACTCCGATTGGACACAGAGACTAGCTGTCTGCTTTGAGTTAACGCGCTACGCTGCAAATTTTTTTGTTCAAGAACGCGCAGGAGAACTTCAAAAGAGTTGACTGTTGGGCGAGTTTGTGCTTTGACCGAGAAATCATCATGAGGGCGCAACTAGAAACAATACACAGGAAGATACAGATAAAGAAAGGCGCCTGTCCTCGTCTGTATCTTCCTGTAGGTTGTGTTTAGTTGCTCTCTAATGATGGTTTCTATGTCAAGGCACAGGAGAAATCTTCCACCGGCACTACCTTGGAATATAAGAACCAGTGCCTAAATACACGTGGTGGCCAGTGATCGGTTGTGCAGCGCAAACAGTCAGTTTTTTTTTTCGATCAAGAAAGTCGCTATCAGATGCTACCTGCTTCATCGTTGCGAGCCGAGAGAAGGCAAACATGGGAGAGGAGAAAGCGGGGAGGGGAGCTGCATACTAAATGATGGTGTAAACGCCATGGCGAGAAATGGCTATAGGAGAGGAGGGAGCGAGCGTAGGCTAGCAGATGCTCCCGGCGGTGGCGTTGCGAGGCGAGAGGGACGAAAAGCGAGAGCAGGTGGTAAGAGAGAAGTGGAGAGAGTAAGTGCAGCTGTTGGAGGGGGGAAGAGGAGAGTTGCGCATACGTAGTGTGAATGCCGGCGCCGACGTCGACTTCGCCAGACACAGACCCGAGCAAGAGATGCTCCACGTCCATCACAATGGGGAAATATGGCTCATTCACTTGTTTCGTGCACGCGCCCTCCCGACATCATTGTTAAACGCCCCGATTGCCTCAAACTTTTGTTTCTATGCATGCCATGTAGTGTTCCCAAAAATAATTTCTCATGTGCTGTAAAGAGAATTAATCAGGCAGACTGTTCCTATTTTCACGGTAGCCCTAGAATTTTAAGTAAAAGAACAAGTATTCAATTTGACTTTTCGCCCAGCCGCGGTGGCCTAGTGGCTATGGTACTCGGCTGCTGACCCGCCGGTCGCGGGATTGAATCCCGGCTGCGGCGGCTGCATTTTCGATATAGGCGGAAATGTTGTAGGCCCATGTGCTCAGATTTGGGGGCACGTTAAAGAACCCCGGGTGGTCGAAATTTCCGGAGCCCTTTACTACGGCGTCTGTCATAATCATATGGTGGTTTTGGGACATTACACCCCTCATATCAATCAAATCACTTCCTTTCACATGTGTAGTTCAAAAGAGGGCAATACGTTAAAAAGCAGCGTTAAAATGACACCTGACGGAAGCTGTGTTTTTTGGGGGGGTAAAGACATAGCTGCTAATGACTTGGATATAACCTTAAAATTGAAGAAATCAACCTAAAAATTGAGCAGAATATCTTATTGGCAGATGTAAATTAGGGAGGTCAATGTGTATGGCTTATGTTTTTTTATGAAATAAATGTTGTCTCTTAGCTGTTCACTTTGGGTTAACCTGTACGTGGTACTAAGCCCTAATATTTCACTTTATGGCAATAAATTTTTCCAAACGTTCAACAATTTCCTCTATTCATGTTATATTCTAAATGATAGCTTTGTTAGTTTTACATTAATCTCTAAGGAACTTTGAAGTCCTACCGTGCAACATCAGAACAGTATGAAAGCACAAGAGCTGTAGTATCAAAACGTGTACTTGCCGTTTTTTTCGACCACAATACGAACAAGAAAAATAGCACACCAATAATATCTATTCCAGTATCTCAGCTCCTTTGTGACATTATTGCCTGAAAAATGTGAAAGAATTGCGACCAAGTATGATTTTAAGACCACATCTTTGACTGTGACACACTAGTTGTCTAATTATTTTGGTACCTGCATCAAAATAAAATTTGCATTCTACATAAATGCTCAATCAGTAAGAGAACAAGTTTGTTTCACAAGAAAGAAAGCGCATTCGAAAATATTTTTGAGTTAAGGAAGCTTTGTGATGTGCATATAGTTGAGGCCACTTTTTTTGCTCATGATTAGCACGCGACGATGTCTGACAACAAACGATGCAGAAAAATCTGCCAGATTTGACAAAGCCTTTCTGCAATAATGGTTATGGCGTTTAAAATCTATGGCTGTGGGGTGTAGGTTGCCTCGGAATTTCAGCTGCTGAAAGGTGACACTTTTTAGGGACGAAGCTCCTCAAACCGTTGATCATGGGTCTGCGATGTATATATTATCGTAGTAGTAGTAGCAGCATGTAGCCACCTCTACGGGTGAACTAGAAATGCGGCACGCGTGCAATGTTTTTGATTATGGAGGAAACCCGTGCCCATCTATTAAAAACTTAAAATATTGTTGTTTCAGACGAAATACCCTACAGAGTCGACTATCGGTGACAATATGTAATAAATTTCCTTTAAATTTTATGTTTACTAAAAAAAACTTGTAACAGATTTGTGCACTTTTACCACTATCTGGCCGGAAGAGGTTGCCATGTTAAACTCGCTGGGCGTAACCTGCTTGGCTTTAGCAAAGTTAAGCGAAAGTTGGGGCGCAGTGCCATGAACTAGCGGTGGTGAAAGGTGGCAGCTAGGCACGAAGCGCAGGCCGTAATGGAGTGCGCGCAGGCACTCTTCTAGTTCGGCCGTGCCACCTCTCGTTTAGTCTTTGCAATGACTGCTAGATGGTAGTACTTCTGTATGATGAATATATGAATAAATGATGCGAGATAGTGGTACTTGGTGTATTCACTAGATAGATGGATGGATGAACGGACGCACGGATAGACGGAGGAATGGACAAACAGGGAGACACACGGACGAACAAACACACAGACGGATGGACAGACGCAAATGTGGACGGACAGACACACGCACGGATTTATTGCACGGACGGACAGCGCAGGGAAGGACGGGTGGACGGAGGTATGGATTTGCGCACGAACGGAAGGATGGATGGACGCAAAGATGGATGCGCAGATGAATGGACGCATACACGCATGGACGGATGCACAGACGGATAAACCCAAGGACGAACGAATGGTCACACAGACGGACGCATGGACGGGCGGAAACAAGAACGACTGAACGAACGGAAGCTTGGATGAACTGACGAATGATTCGACCCAGCCATCACCATTCACTGCGTAAATAAGCTGTGGTTTTTTTCATTCATACCACAAACATATATGTAAAAGGTAAGGTCGTCGTTTGAGTTAATAAGTACTTGCAAGCGAGAAAGCAACGGCTGATTGATTGATATATAGAGTTCAACGTCCCAAAACCACCATACGATTATGAGAGACGCCGTAGTGGAGGGTTCCAAAAAGTTCGACTACCTGAGGTTTTTTTAAAGGAACAATGAAGTCAAGCAACACGTTACGTCAGAGTGAAAGCTAAATAAATGTACGACAACATGGAAAACGACAATTATTAGGAGCATCAGCGCCCCACTTATTGAGAAAAAAAAGTAAATCCACAAGAATACATGCGCCGCACGAGAACATTCTCAATATGATCCCTATGTCGTAAGACAAACCGTCACAATTAATCACTAGTAATCGATCTAACTGCACTAAATACAGAACTTTCTATGCATCAAGAGACACAATAAAATGGCATTCTCTTCACTTCTGTTTCATTCATAGAAAAAAAAACCGCCAGACGTTACTAACGGGTTGGGCAAGTGTTTCATAAATTCAGTTTTCACGGGGTAACACTAGACAGGCTGGGCCATCTAGCAGGCCCCAGTTGAACCAAAACACGTCTGTCATCTCGGAGCCAGTAGCAGGAAGTTGGTCAATGGTCGCTGGTGAAGCCCGTTACCGTGGTCCACAATATTGTTGAGCTGCCACGCAAGGGTTGTAGAACACCACACGCTTTGTAGAATAGCATGGCTTCTGCACGCTACGGGTCACGCGCTTTTAGCGTTGAACTTGTTAGATGCTGTAACATTTTTATCGCCAATAAAACCAGACAGGCTATTGCGTCTGCAGTCGGAGCCATGAATACCGAGTAGTTTTTCCCCGTGAAAACTTTGTGCCAGGAATATGGTATATTTCAAAGTGGAACGACGCGAGTGTATTTTCGTGGAACTCACTGATCTTGTTCTTTGCAAGAATTATTAAAGACATCTTCTATGGAAATAAGGGCACGGACAATGTGCTAGAGCGAGCGATGGATGGACGGACGGACGTACAGACAGAGACACGGACGAACGGAAGCACGGACAGACGGAATCACGGTAGCACAGCCGCATGGGCGGATGGACGCATGGACCGACAGAAGCACGGACAAAGGGAAGCACGGACAGACGGAAGCTTGAAGCGGCGCAAGCACGGGCGGACACTTCGCATCACTCATCATCATTCACTCCATGGATATGTTGTGATCTTTTTTGAACCCCGCCTATTTACCGTTTACTGGAAGATTAACTAAATTGTTGACCTCCACTAACTTTTTTTTAGTTTTTCACGAACCATCAATAGTATTGTTTTGTTGATTCTGTGGTGGTTCTAAAGAAAAATTAGATCATAAAAAACTGTTTCCACTGTCTTCTTATTTGTTAAACAGTTCTACGCACAGGAAGTGAGAGGTGGTTGGAGAATGCGACTGCGAATGAATGTGAACCGCGCCAATCCAAAACATCGTAATCAGGGTCATCTTTATGATGCATAGTGCAAAGCTTGCATCGTCATGTGCGTGATCTTCATCGGCACCGTGAGTATGGACAACGTAGAACAAATAAGAGAGCAACAAAAGACAACAAATAGATAAACAAGTGGAAAACAATTAAAGAGAGAAAAAAGAGATATAAGGAAGAAGAGAAGAAAAGAGATAAAGTAGGTAGGTAAAAAGGCAGTTTACTTGCTGAGCCACCGATCAGCTCTTGATTTTTACTAGCCAATCTAACATTTACTATTTAGATAATACACTGTAATGATTTGACATTCAGAAGAATTTCATATTATGATTACACCTCAGATATTCAACAAATTTTATTATTTCTCTTCTTTTCCTTTTTTTTTTCACATTGTGTCAAAATAATTTCACAGTCAAAACAAAGGAATCCTTTTTCCTCTAGCCTGGATAACCTAAAGGTATTGACTTGCATTAACCACCGGCTTCTTGGCCAATCCCCCTTAGTGGGTGAGAGCCATAAAAGAAAGAATCAATCAAGCAAGCAAGCAAGCAAGCAGACACAGCTTCATGCTGCATTTACTAGGCTTAACTGCTCTTCCGTGTGGTAAAGTGTTCATGTCTAGATTCAAGTTCTTATTATGAGAATGTAAAGAGAAAATTGAAAGTTGTGATAATAATGTGAATAACAAGGTTCCGTGTGCTCAAGCTGACGTTCCTACGAGTGGAGTTGTCTTCTTGAAGGCCTGTTGTAGTCTTGAGGAAAACAAGAACACTTGTATAAACATCAGTCAGAGCACACAACTCCTATTTACGCGTTTTGATTTCTTTAGGTTATGACTCGCTGAAACATTTAGAATAAACACCTAGGTGTGATGTTTCTTCAGGATTCATCCACCCAGTGTGAAGTTGCCTTAGTTTTTACATTATTGCTGCACCCATGACAGAACTTTTAAAGCCAGTTGGGGCGATTTTCGAGTCACTATTAGATGGCTACATAACATCAAAATAAATTTATTGCTTGGTTGCTTGTGACTGCTTGATTGACATTGTGAATTTTTTTTTACAACGGTGCGTGGGAGCACTGCGTGAATTCCCAATCTACAATGTCTGTGTTTACTGCATGCTGTTTTGTCTTCATTGTTTGCTTCCAACTCCGCACGTTCAATAGCAAGTTTTAGTAATGGAATACTGTTTTCTTTACCATTCCAGTCTGTCATTTCCATTCTGGGCGGATACTGCAGTAGTTGAGCCTCCACCGTCTTTTTATGCCTGAAAATACGCACGGACAAGTGAAGTAAGCACAATAGTCATGTTGCCCTAGTTGCCAACATGAGCGTCCAAGCATGTTCGAATTCGCTCTCAAGAATTTTCAATACATCCAACACCGAAGCACTAACGTTTTGCGATAGAGAAGAAAATTCAAGCGCAAGTGTGATGAAAGGACACACAGGTCACGTTTTATGGGTGATGCGTAACAATAAAGGACTTGAATCGGCAAACCGAAACATAAACTGAGGAGTGGAGGGCAAGAGGAGTGGGGTGGGGGACCGAAACATTAAACTGATATAGAAAGTAGCGTGTGTGGTCGTACACTTGTGCTCGCTTAAATAGAACGAACTATTTCTTTTCTTTCTCTCTCTATTGAATTTGTTTTTCAAAATCCGCTGTCAGATGTTTAAAAAAGTATTTATACTAGGCACAAATATGAAAGTATGCGTGATGAATCAGTATCCAGGACATCCCGGACGTTTTCACCCCTCATCATATCGCCAAACTGGTACTTAGTCACTCGCTTTTGTGCTTAATCTCGGTGCTCTCTGCTTTATAGCGCCAAATCCTTAGTAGTGGAATGAGACACGTCGTCATGGTAAAAAAGTAAATGAGTGCCCTATGAAGTAGGTGCACGAACCCATGACAGCAGAGATCTTGCACGCTTCTGTGATAAGGCTTTTTTATCCGAAACATCATCGTCACTATATATTGAACAATAAGCCAGCATCATGAAATACCACATCTGTACACGTAATGCAGTTAGACACATCAAGTACAACGTACGAGCAAAAAGAAAAATAATAAAGAGTAGAAAAAATAAACAATCGTACTTTGTTGTATTATTCACACAAAAAGATCAAGTGAACCTTCACCTAAACATAACAACAACAACAATGACCGTAACAAAATGCCACGCTCATGCTTTTTACGTCACCAAGCGTACATACACTGTCATATTCCAGACGGCCTGGTAGAGCAAGGTGACGCTGTTGTCAGTTAAATTTCTCGTTCTATAAAAAATGCATGTCGCGTTATAGCTCCCGTAGAATTGTGGTTGAGATGCTGCGAATATCCAGATCCTGCGGCTCGTGTGAAGAAACTGAAAATAAAAGCATTTCTCTGCGTTACTGAGTATTGTTTGGGTAAACCTTATCGAAGAAGGTGCCTGCTCATCAACAGCCCCCAGACTGCAGTAAACAACTGCAGCTTGTGTGTGCGCCTGTGTGAGAGGGCTAAGGGAAAGAGAGAAATTTAACATAATATTGGCCGTGTTTTGTCGAGCAACTAAAACACAGATACAACGTTGGTTCAATCTTCCCGGTGCTGTATCGCAGAAATTAGCGCTAATTATGTGAATTAAAAGAGAGAAGTATAAGAACGCTGCTATGAATGAGGACGAACACCTTTCCTTGACTGGTAACATTATTAAAAGAGATGTCTCCAATTTTTATGGCTTAGAGATTATTCTGCACCGTCGGCGGTGTTTTCCACAATTTGTATTTAAAATCCTCT